CCCTCCCCTCCCTTAGTGAAGCTGAGTTAGAGTAAAGATACAGTCACTGATGCATATTATATTAATCATTCAAAGTACTTTGGGATTATTTTTATCTTGCCATGATTAAAATAGGGATGAGAGAAAAAAACTCTATATAAAAGAACAGCAGCAACACTGTAGCTAACTTGTAAAACCTATTAGTGTTGCAAAGCGGTAAAATCTAAAAGCTTTGTAAGTTTGAAAAAAATCTTACAGATAAAAATGTCATGTGGGACCCAAAAATTCTCTTCTGAGAAAAGAAAGAGTTTCCAGTTCATTCATCCAAGATCTCTGCTGATGGAAGGAGTAAACACACATTTTAGAAGAGTAATTACTGTTATATTTATTACAGGTCTATGAATTAAAAGAAAACCAGAATGTTATAAGCATTATTTTGAATTCTAGAATATTCCTCTATCCATTCTCCTGGGCTCATTCCTAAAGATCTTTGGCAAAAAGTTGAAAACATTGTTTCCATCTTCTCTTTGCCATTGCTCATTTCCATTTTAATTTCTCTTACTATATTGCTATATTAAGTCACTCTGGATCCCAATTTTGCCTTGGAACAGAACCCTTCACTTTGAATTCTAACCCATTGTTGGAGCAAAAAGAACCATAGATACTTCACAGACTGTATGTGCTGGGAACTGGGCAGAGTTTTGTTGGTATTTTCAGCAGCAATTCATATAATCAATGACTAGAAACTTTTTGAGATTTCTTATTGATACAGTAGATGTAGACACTATTTTTCAGTTTCTCTAGAAGGTGATGCCATAAGACTCTTGTTTGATCCTTTTATCCTGTGGGGTTTCTTAGGACCTTATATTGTACTCTCTGATTTTTTTAGTGTGTACATGAAGACACTGGGGAATGTTATTCAGACATCAGGAGTTGAATCATAACAATGTACTGAATAACACTAATCTCTGTATCTTCTAAAATGATGCTAAGGAGCCTAAGGTGGAGTTTTTAAACTATACCTTAAATACAGTGGGGGACTGGTTATGGGGAAGAAACTGAACTTCACCCCTGGCATGGAAGAAATTCTGTTGATCAGTATACAAACTAACCGAGTAGTGAGAAATCCAGCCCATTCAAGTAAGGGCAGCAGTACTACTGAAAGATCAGGTTTTCAGTTTGCACATCCTTTTGGATTCTGAACTGTCTGCAGATAGCAAGAATGGCTGAAAACGCCTTTGCACAGCTTCATCCAGTTTTGTACACTTTTGGGGAAAAGAAAGATCTGGCTACAATGACTCATGCCTTAATCACCTCTTATTCAGAATAATGAAGGACATGAGGTTGCCCTTGAAAACATTCAGAAACTACCACCATATATAAAACGTAGTAACTAAACTTATGCAGACACAGTTTCAAGCTTGCAGTTCATTTTTGGCACAAATCAAAATATTGGTTTTGATCTACATATTCCTAGATTGTGTAAAGAGTATACAGGATTATCTTCATGAATGCTCCCATAATTTACAGTCCTCACTGGAAATCCTATAATGAGACTAGATTGTTGGGAATTCAAAATGGAGTGTTTTTGGTAGCAGCACCCTGATTGTTGCAGAGGAGGTGAGATTGACTTACACTGTTTTAAATAAATGATGAACACTGTTGTTTCTGTTGGGATTTTGAAGAATGTACATTTGTTGTCATTCTTCAGTTTAATGTTGCTCTCAGTTTTTTTTTTCTAATGCGGAAAATAGTTTTCAGAGTAAGATACTTTCTCTAAGTTCAGAAAATATGCGGAGTACAGAGAGGAGGGAAAAAACAGGATGAGAAAGGGAAGAAAACAGAGCTGAATTTAGACTATGCCACCAACCTGACAGCTCTCTTCCTCTCTTTGCAGCAGACTTTGAATATAGAGGACTTTGGATCCAAGTTGTAACATTAAGCAGTATTACCCTCTCAGTCATTTAGCATGATAATATTTCTACGATTCCAGCTCCCTCATGGATACAGGGTCAATATTGTCTAGCTTTTTCGGAAGTTAGAGAACTAGGTTTAAGTCCTGTTAGTACAGACAACTTTGTGGCCTTGCCAAAATAGCTTATATGTAAAAATTTTTAGGGCTATTGAGAGAATTATTGCAAACTACTTTGTAAAAATTCTCTCTCTCTCTCTCTCTCTCTCTCTCTCTCTCACACACACACACACACACACACACACACGTGTGTGTGTGTGTGTGAATTCCACACAATGTCTGGCACTATCAGTTCTGTTGCTTCTTTTGGCTATGGATATGTGTTTTCAAATCCTGTGCAGGAGCACCTAGCAGTTGAGCAGCAAGGGTGCTTTTAATGTCAGGGGTGATAGTACTTCACAGCTTGCTGCTTTTTAGGGCACAGAACTGAAAGATCTCATCTTCACACTGTTAAAATTCCGTTGTATGGTGTGAATGTGTTAGCAGCCACATATAGTTCTTGTTATTCATATAGCTTGCATTTATTTCATTTAATTTAAACTGATGCTGCTCTTTTTTGCATGGTGAGAAGGATTAGAACTAGAAGACTTTTTGCATTCTTCTAGGGGAAAGTAGTCCAAGTCAGAAACTTTCCCATGTTTTCATTTTAGGCCTTAATATCATATGCTCTGCCTTCAGCAGAAGCACATGGCTATGTTTTATGCATGACCCCTTTTATTCGGTCAAAAATGGCTAAACTAAAAAATAATTGAAAAAATATGAAAAGTATTTGTTGTAGGCTAACTGTGCTAAAGGTGATTGTGTAAATGAGTTTCTGTTAGCATGCAATAATGTTCCTTAGCACTTGCTACTAGTTTCCATATAAAAGTAAGAGTTGGAATGTTAGGTTTATTATGATAACTAGTATTAACTTGAACCCTTGCGTTGTCGCATAATTGTGGATTCACAGTGCACCAATAGTTCCAATGGGATTTGTGTTCATTTTTTTATTTCCACAATAAATTTATGAATTACCACTCCAGGAAATTTTAAACAAACAAACCAAAATCACGATACTTGAATTTCAACCATTCATAATCTGAAGTTGTCTTCCTGACCCTATGACATTTTCTTCATGATACTTTCTGACATTTTTCCACCCAGAGTACAATTTTCAAACAAAAGCCCATTTCTCTATCAATATATTATAGGTTCCAAAAGGGCATTCCATGCTGCTTTTTTCTTTCCTGTCTTTGGGGAGGGTCCATCATTCCCACCCCAGGCGGGATTATTGACATGCATAGCAGAGAGCAGGAGGGAACTTGTTGGCTCTCTTGTCCAAGTTTCATAGCTGAGCAATGTTGGAAATATAGGCTTCTCTCATACATCTTTCCACATGTTGATATTTATTCTCAAAGTTTATGTAATCTAGGCCACAATGTGTCACAAATGCAGAAAACAGGGTAAATATGAAAAGGTGTTTGTGGAGCATTTGTCTTAAGACAACTCCTGTAAGGACCTGCTGCAAGGGAGTCACAAAATCTACATAAAAAGTAGTAGAATATGTTCATATTGGATATTAGCATCAGTGTTTAACTACAGTCATATTATTTTGTTTTCTTGAAATGGCATGGATAGCTTGCACGTGTTAACGTATGCAGTACTTCCTGTAACTGCGCTTGTATTTTCAGTTTCCAATTTTCTAGGTGGTAACCTTGCATTTACCTTGCACACGTGTACTAAGACATCTGATGGTACAGGTGAATGAAGACCTAGAAACCTCTATAATTAGGTACCAGAAGCACCATCTGGGACATCAACTGTACAGATTGTGGTATTAATCATTTTAAAAATATCATTCAATTAATCTTATACTTCTAATTATATGCTAATGCTAAATATTCTTATGTCAGTTTGTGACAGAATTGGAGCAAGGACTGAACGTTTCAGAGCTAGGAAACCTTTTCAAATAGATACTATTTTAAACCTGCAATACTCCCCTCTATGTATCATGGGTAACTCTTTTAATTTGGAAATTGGAAACAATCGGAGGTGGGTGGCCTTAGCATTCAATGATTTTGTGAAGGATGTAATGATGGCCAAGTAACAAACCTTGTAAGGACATTGCAAGGTATTGGGCAGATGTGCTCAGAGAAATACTCCTTCCAGCTAA